AAAACAAAAAACCTGAAGTTCATGTTTCACACTTTAAGTGGTCTGACCGAGTGTGGCTAGATTCCCTTTTAAAATCAAATGAATCCAATGCATCTCCCAGAGCCCTGCAGTATGAATGCTAAAAGGATTACAGCTAGTTAGATCACACCACTTTATTTTGCTCTTTGCAAGAGCCATGTTAAATCCAAGACTTTATAGCCTTTGTTTGCACAGATATGGCTACATGGCAGGAAATTACATAATTTAGCCTCTGCCATCAAGAAAAATACTCCTTTGTGCTCTGCTTTGGAGTCAAATACACAAAGAACTGCATTTTCTCTTTCTTTCCTACTGAAATCTTTTTCATTAAAAAGAAACAACATACAAAAATGGTTTAAAAAACACTATAACGATAATATAAATATTTAAGTGGAAAACAGCCTTGTAGTAACTGCTTGAAAAAGACACCTGACCCACACACCCCTTTCTTAGCGTTGCAGCACTGCTTGAAGGCAAAAGAAAATCAGGGGCTTATTGTAGTATTGCTTGTTATGGGACTCTCAAAGCTGACCACAATCTGGACAGAAAGGGAATGGAATGAACAGTGTAAATAAAAAATCAGCATAAAGAGTAAAGAGCTCGGTAGGTTTTAAAAATGATTTACTATGAACTGCTTGAAGTCTTTTAACAGAAATAAATTATTTTAAAATGCACTGGGAATGCTTGGTAGGCCTTTATGGTTGCTCTCAGAAGAGATGGAAGAACTTTCTGAGGAGAAAGAAGCAGTGCTGTATAATGCAAAGTTTGCGGCCAACTAAGCCTGGCTTTTTCTGTTAGAACAGAGTGAAAGTTAAGCATCAAGATGAGGGGCTATGACCTGATCTCTACCATTATTTTCAAATTGGTTTTTTTGGCTCTCCCAAAACGCCCAGCAGCTCACCCATGGCCAGACAGCAGCTCCAGAGGTACTGCTGGACACACTCTAAATTCCACTTCATCAGCCTTTCCATCACAGAGCTGAAGTGCTGTTAGCATCGAGGAAAAAGGCCACGTGCAAGTGATTATTTTGAAACAGAATCCATCTAGTGTAAAACCTGCTGACATGCAATAGCCCCAGCATCACCACAGCAGCAGATATTACAGATGGAAAACAACTTCTGCTAACATATTTGCTAAGGTTCCATTCATGCTAGTGTTAAATATTTCAGTGAAGTCTAGTGGAAATCTCTGGGCAATTACTCCACTGTTTATCAGATGTATCAAATAAGTAAAGTCTAAAGTATTTA